AAATGTAAAATTTTATATATATATTATTATATATATATATATGTAACAGGAAGGAGAAAAAATTACAGTACTATCGAGGATATCGCAAGATTGGTTATATGGAGAAAGTGGAGATCAAAGAAAAGGTCAATTTCCAATAAACTACGTAAATAGAGTCCCACGTAATGTTTCATTATATTAATTTATATGTTGTATATTATAAGTAGTATGTCAATAATTTTTCTATTACAACTCTTATTTTTTATACATAAAAAAATATTTTTATGGTATATTAATAAGATAAAAAATGAAAAATTTAAGATTTAATATTGAAATCATGTTTTAATGGTCATAAATGTTTAAATATATATTTCAAGAATTTTATATTTATAAAAAGACTGAATTATACGCAAATATGCATTGCCTTAAAAATTTCAATAAGATATTTTTATCACTTTTTTTCAAATTTATTTTCTGAAACTGTAACAATTTTGAAACTTTTACAATTTAAAAATAGAGTAATATAATTTTTCAAACAACTAATTTTTTCTTATTTTTACATTACAAATATCTATTAATATGTTCTAAAATTCAAAAATATTATTTTCTAGAAAAAAAAATAAAAATAGAAAATAAAATTTTTTACTAAAATATTTTACTTATTGAAATATATGCAAATGAAAAAAAAAATGTATATACAAAATTTTCTAATAATTTCATATTTTTTCAATTTTTAAAATTAAAATATTTTAATATCAAAATTATGATTTCTTCCTTTATGATTTATAATTTATTTATATTATTATTATATTTATGTAATAGAGAATTGTACTTATTTTATAATCAGTAATTTTATTGACTCAAAAAATTATATAATATGCAATATATAAGTACATCTAAATACACATAAAAAAAAGAATAATTATATTTTTTTATATTCATTAAAAATATTTTAAATTTATTAAAATTAATGAAAAATTACAAAAATATATGAATTATAAAACATATATAAAACATATATATAAAACATATATTACTATTATTGTTTTGTTTAACTAACATATTGTTACATACTATTTTAAAATAATCAAAATAATCAAAAATATCTATTAATTAAAAAAAGATAAAAGAAGCCTTATTTAATAAATATTATGTTTATATTTATGAATATTATATTTTATATTTAGTGTCATTTAATTTTAATACATATCAATTTTAATTTGTAATATTTAAAATGTATTTTGATTGGAATTACTGGTATAAAAATAATGGTATAATAAATGTACAGTATATAGATATGTAATTTCGAAAATATAAATTTAAATATTCGTTATCTTTAAATGTTGCATATGTAAATACTTATATGTTTATTGCAATGAAATATATTTAAAAATTTAATTTGCGTATATTTTAAAAATTAAAAGGAAATTATCTATTATCTATTTTAAAAATATTTGTGTAAAAGAATGTGTGTATATATATATAAGTAAATACTTTTCAACTGCAACATGAAATAAATTATTTTAAAATTTATAGAAATGTGGAAGAAAATTTCAATTCCAATATTAATAATCAATAATTTTATTAATTCCATGATCTATATGAGATCAGATGTTTAATTTATAAAAAACAAAATTGATTTATAAAAAAACAAAATTAGAATAATTATAATTTTATAGAATAATTGATTTTTAAACGTATTTATATATTTCTAAACTTGTTACATATACAATGTGATATCAAGTTGTATTAATGATCATATCATTTTTATTATGCATATAAAATAAATTATTTAATATTATATATAATATTAATTTTTTATAAATTGTAAAAAATATAAGATTAGTATAAGTAATAAGATTAGTACAAAATATAAACAAGTGATATCAAATTTATTATAAAATAAATAAAAATAATAAATGTAATATAAATATCAAAACTATATGTTGACATAAAAAATATTTTGCGATGTTTAATTTAATAATTTTTATAAATTTTGTTCATAAATATAATCTTTTATAAATATTTATGATAATAGCGCTATCATTTTGCAAAAAAATAAGGCTAGAGATAGAATATTCATTGAATGCGATAATTCTTATCGATAAATTTTATAACATTCAAAGACTTCAGAGATTTTAAATGTGTAGGATATTTTGAACATGATATATATTTATTAATATATTTAGAAAAGATGGAAAAAATTATAATTTTAAAATGCTTTACTGTCTGTATAATAACATTTCTAAATTTTTTACCTGTGAGATAATATAAAAAGAAATTAATTGCAAAATTCCAATGATATATGTGAAAGCATAAACCACGACACCACTTTAATAATATTTTTTCTTTTAACCTGAAAAATAAGTAATAATTGTAACATATAAAAACTATCGATTTATTATATATATATATCTGTATATATATTTATGTTTATTATAAATTTATACCAATGTATATATTCTGTCTTTTTCTTTATTTCAGTATTAGGGAATTTAATTAATACAACATCCCAATAAAGTTCTAAAGTTTCAACTATACCAAGGGGTAATAGTAACACTAAATAAACAGTTGATACTACAAATAATGTTTTAAAAGTATGATGCATTCTACTTATTTTATATCTGAAATTTTCTAAAAAATAATGTCATTAAATATATTTGTATCTCTTTAATTATAAAAGATATTTGAATAATTTACTTACGAGTTAACTGACAATGAATTTTTTCCATTTTTTTCATGTGTATAATCAGTAAAATATTTCCAATAAATATAAAAAGTAATGGCAACCAAGTAGATAGTGCAATATAAAAATACATAGTACTACCCCATGGTTTTATTTTTTTTTGACATGGTATAAATTCAAAAACACTATCTGTTTCATAGCCTGAAAATATGATAAAATACACTAAAATTTAAATTTTTATAAATTACATACATATATAATTACATATAAATAACAACTATATAATAGCTATTAAAAAATATAATAATTTAAAAACATAATAAATAACTAAGTATTAAAAAATATAATAGAATATAAAGTTATAAAGTTTACCTCCTGAATATAACTTTGTTAATGATATTATAAAACTGATACATATCAAAATAATAATAATTATTATTTCAGAGCAATTATTATAATGACCATATATTTCGAAAGGAAATATAATAGCAAATACTCGTGTCCATGTGAGAATTACAACCAACCAAGTTGAGGTAAATTGAAAAAATTCCATAGTAACAGAATTTAAGCTGCATAGAAATCCACTGTTCTAAAAATATTATTAATTTAAATTTCTAGTTACATATAGAACAAAATTAACTAATTTATTTATACTTACCATAAAAAGATTATTAACAAATATAAAATGTGATTTTGCAATACCCATAGCATAATTAAATATTAATGCTCCATTATCAGATAATGCCAATGCTTTTAAATAAAGCGATAAGTTTGATTCACAAAGTATAGGTGTACTTAACATTACAAAAGAAATAATGTTTAATAATACACCTATGAATAATTAATATAAATAATATTTTATAATATAATAATATAATAATAGTATAAAATAATTAATTTATTGTATTATAATAAGCTATATAAGCTTTATATGACATAAAAAAAACAATTATCATATAATATAAGAAAACTAATTTTCTTTCACTTACCAAGTATTATAATAAATGGTGTTATATAGCTAAGTAAAAAACGCACAAATTTAACAAATGGTTGTAATGATAACCAATAAAAACGAACTTCACAAGGCCATACAATTTCTAAATTGGGTTGTGAAAAATTGTAAATAAAATCCAAACTTGTTAATGATAATGGACATGATAAATTTCCTTTAATATAAGAACTATACAATAAATATAAATATATAAATGAAAATATATAACAATTATTTTTTTTATTAATTGAATTTATTTATAATTTTTATCAAATCTTTCGTGTCTCACCTGATTTCATTTACTGGAATTTCAATACATTGAATTGATTGTAATGATATATTTAATATTAATATAAATTGCAGATTTATTTTATTAAATGAAATCATTTGTATACATATATTTGCATATAAAAAAGAAGATATAAAAAATTATTGTGCAATAATATCTAAAAAATATATTATGTATATTTATAAAAAATATATATTATACAATTATCATAAAAAATATGCTTCTATTTAAAATTTATATACCTTTCTCTGTCAAATATTTTTTCAATATCATGACTAATAATATCTTCTCATTAAGAACTTTAAAGGCATCTGTTGTTAATTATCATAACATAGAATTGTTCTTAGCAAATATCATTTCAATGCAAATAAAAGTTTAGATGTGTATGTGATTAGAAGCAGATCTGTATTTTACATATATACACTTATATATTATCTTAAATAATGAAAATTTATAAAATATATATATAATACATATATATATTTTATATTTTTATAAAATTAAAATCTTAAAGGAAATTTTTCTTTAATTATAATATTAACTAATAATAATAATAAAAAAAAATGAATATTATCATAAATATAAAAATAATATTCTAGGAAAAATTAAATACTATAAAATAATATATTTAATATTATAAAATAATAACAAAATTATAATTAAATATTTTTATAACAATTAAATATATAGTATATAATATAGTATATAATTTAAAAAGTTTTTATATTTTTCTGTTAAATATAATTTTTTTTTTTTTAAATTTAAAATATAATCTATCTTTTAAATTATTGAATTATAGATAATATTAATCAAATATAAAATTAACATTAACTGAATTGTGAAATATAAAGATTTATATTTTAATACATAAAAATATAAGTATATGCATTAAATAGAAATCACTATTAATTCATGGAAATATAATTTACAATGTATTTTCAATATATAATATATACAATTTACACAATCTACAAGTAAAAGGCACACAATAAAAATATGATAGCTTATTTATTTTCATAAAAATGAAATTTTATTGCAATAGCAATAAATTATGTTTCATATTTTATATATTAAATTTTCTATATATTTTATATTTATTTTAAAAATTATTTCATTAGGTTAGTTAAATAAAATTTTATTTCTTTTACTATAATTTTCTAGAAATTTCTTTATTATATTTTCACAAAAAACAATTAATGTAATACTATAGTAAATACAACAAAAATGATATTACATTTCATTATTCATTTTGCCTATCAAAAATATATCCTTTTTATTTCATAAATTTTGTATGTTTCATAAATTCTGCCCAAGAATATTATATAAATTGGTTAAAAACGTCTGATATTCTTTTCTTTATATCAATCTTTTCTATTATATTAATATATAAATAAATTTGTCTACTTCAGAAGAAATATTTTTTTTATAAGAATGTTTATTTTTTCAAGTACTAGTAAATTTGTCAGATTTAATGCAAAACAATTGCAACTTCTCTCTTCAAAATAATTTAATGACTTTTTCATTTTAAAACTCTAGATTTCTTAAAATTATTAATTATCTGTGATGTCTTACTTTTTAAATATAAGTTTCTTAATAATCACATTCATAAAAATATGCAATTTATCTATAAAAAAATTTATCTAAAAAAAATACAATTCAAGAAATTAATGCATTCCACTAATATTCCAATAATATGTAAATCAAATAAAAATGCAATTTTTAATTTCTGTTGATGTATTAAATGCAATTACATCAACTTAGAAGAAATAAATTCATGTTTCTTAATTATCCCTAGAACCTTGGAATTTATTTTATATAATAATCTTTTATTTTATATAATTATTTAATTTAAATTTTATTCAGTAATATTATTTTCATAATCAATTAAATGTTTAATGACATATCAAATATATTATATAATATATATCATATAATTAAAAAATAAAATTAATTTCATTTTTAAATACTAGATCAAAATAATAAAAGGAAAAAAAAGCAAAAATAATTAAAATAGTTATTATCCAAAGTTCTAGTATTAATAAATAATTTACATTTCCAAATTTTTGTTTATCAAAATACAATTTTTAAAACATTTATATTTATATACTTAACAATGTTAAAAAGTACTTGTATTACCTAAATTAATTTCAAGAAAAAGAATAAACAACCATTGATAATTACAAATATATAAATTATTAATAGACAGCATAAACACACACTGACTCTTACAATTAATAATTTTATATAATATTGTTATAATTATAATATATTTTTTATAAGACAAAAAAGATCAAATATTTTTACATTTATGGTTCCATTGCACAGTACATCTCAAATAAGGTATCAAAAATTCATAAAATTTAGAATGAAATATTACAAATTAAATTTGTAATATTTTATGATAAATAATTATTATTTTAATTATTTTATTTAATATTTATTTTTATTAATAAAAATGTTTTTTCTATGTTCTCAAACTGATATTTATATAAATTATTGTAGATATTAAAAGAATTATTAATAATTTTGCAAATTAAGTACATGCCTTAGAACGACAAAAAAATATTTATTATGAGTTTATGTAAGCTCAGATATATCGTTAAGAAATTTATAGAATATATATTTGAAATGAAAACTAGTCTTATGTTCTCAATCACAGCCATTAAATAAAAAATAAATATATTTCTTATGTTTTTCAAAATTTTAATATGTATTTATAATGTATTTTTTTATAAATTATTATAGCTATTTCCATGTATTAATATAAATTTTCACTTAGAAAGAAAAAATTTATTTATAAAGAAATGTCTGTGCAGAACCATTTAATGTGATATAAAAACAGAATAAAAAAATTTTTCTAAAATTTTAAAAAAAGATGTAGTAAATGTATTATTTAATGATAATCTTTTACTTAATATTTATATATTATATAACAATTGTACTTTTCTTTTTTTTTAAACTTTCTTTAAATTCTTTTTTTTTAATTTCTTTTTTTAAGTTCTTTTTAAAAATTGCTATGACTAATCAAAAAATTAGTTCTTTCTTTTTTTTTATAATAAGAAAATAGTTTACCCATAGTTCAAAACAACTTATATTTCAACTGAAAATAATATCATTATTTTTTAATAGCAATTATATTTTTGCTATCTTAAATTTATGTCAAAAAGTAAAACATATTTATATGTATTATATTTTCTAATATCACCTTGGTAAGAAATCAACCTATAAATAAAATAAGTGTTTATATTGCATATAAATAAACGGATATCTGTAGATTTTGCACTTTGTTATTATATGAGAACTTCTTGATAGTTATTATTCGCTCTCAAATCACAAATATTTTAAAATCCATTCGTTGTACTGTATCAGATTAATTTCTTACCTGAAAGCTTAATATCTAATTGAAGTAGGTTTTAAGAAATTATTAACAAAAGAAGAAAAATATGTTTTAATGACTAGTAAACTAAATATTAAGCAGTACTTTTTAAATATTCATAATCCCGTTTTTTGGTTTTTTCTGTGCAAACTCATAAATATTTGTTGATATTTTTTTATGAATAATTCAAAATTAAAAGCAAAGCTATCTCTTTTATAAAAAATGAATACATAAGTTGTTGTCATTTTATACTTGGTAAAATAAATTTTATAAGATATATCATAACTGCATTTATATCTCATTATTGTACTGTGCAATCCTACATATAATATTTACAAAAATAAGCATCCCACAAATGTCATTTTTAGTGACATTTTATATTTTCTTATTTTAAAATTAAGCCAGAAGCTATTGGCTTTTCATATCTTAGAGTTTGCACTAATTTTTTATGTGCATAGGTCATACGAAAATCCAGATCTTTTCTTTAATCAGGTTTATATATGGGTATTTTTGGAATAAATTCAATTAAAAGAACCTGGAATATAAAAGATAAAAACAAATAAGTGTATGCTTATATCTATATCTAAACAAAATCTCTATATCTTATATCTAAACAAAAATCAATGCTTAAGAATAGATAATGTAATTAAAAATATAAGCTGGTTTACATTAACAAGGCTTCTCTTACTATTTATATAATTAGAAAAATGAAAAAAAATAAATAAAATATAACAGAAATTTATATAAATAGAATAATTTTTATACATGTACAAAATAGAATTAAGTTTTAAAAGTTTAAAAATAAAATAAATAAAAAGAAAAATAAAAAATTAAATTTATGTTTACTTACATATTCCATCATGGATGAACTATCACATCTCTGTTTTGCCAATCTCCAATGTAAGCCAAGTTTATGATATAATCTACTATTTTCCCATTCTAATAATTTATTTAATGAATGTTGTGTCTATAAAAAATAAAATAAAAATTGTTTATGTTATCAGATATTTAATTTTATATTATTTAAATTTATATATAAAAAATAGTTATATATAAAATAATAAATATATCTTCATAAAGATTAATATTTACCCTTTTACTCAAACAAATAACTGGCCAAAGAGAACAACCTAATGTACAGCAACAGCAAACGCAACCACAAAATAACCATTTAACATTAACTGGTAATGTTTTTTTTAATACACTGTTTATTCTCATAACAGTTGCTTTAAATTCTTCTGGAGCAACACGTGATACTAAACCATTTGGAAATTCTGATTCAAAACGATTACTAAGTCCAAATCTAAAATAATAATTATAATTTTAATATGTCAAGTAAAAATACATTTTCTAATTTATAAATATATATTGATTTATAAATATTTAAAAAATAATTTTTAAATTATTTTGTTTATGATTTTTTTATAGAAATGAATTAAAAAAAATAATAAAAAATATAGCATATCAATTTATATATTTCAAAAAACTTTATATTATGTATAATATTTTATATGTACTTTTTTAATGTGAAAAAAAAATAACAGTATAAAAACAGTATTTATAGTCCGATTTTGAATACTCAAAATATTAAATCTTATTATATGTTCTGTATTTTTTTAATGTAAAAGAAAAATAATTAAAAATAAACAAAAAATAACAATATAAAAATAGCATTTATAATCTGATTCTTTGTTCGTGAAATACAATATTGAATTTACATATATATA